CCTCTGTCATCCCTTCTATCCTCTTTTCCTCTGTCCTCCCTTCTATCTTCTCTTCCTCTGTCGTCTCTTCTATCCTCTCTTCTTCTGTCGTCTCTTCTATCGTCCCTATCCCTGCCATCTCTCCGCTCATTCCCCCTATCTCTGTCATCCCGGCGGTCTGGCTCATCCCGTCGTCTTTCATCTCTTCTCCTATCGTTCCTATCACTTGGATCCTCTTTCCTGTCACGATCATCTCTCCTCTCTTTGTCCCCTGGCCGTTCCTTCTGATCTCTCTCAGGCTCTCTTTGATGTCGATCTCCATCCCGCCTCCGGTCTCTGTCACTTGGTTGCAGGTCCCTTCGATCCCTACCATCCCGTCTACTTATGTCATCTTCTCGTTGATCTCTCACATGGGGCCGCTCTTTGTCATCCTGATCCGGCCTTCGAGTCTCCAAACGGTGTCTACTCAAATGCTCTTCTCGTCTTTTGGGTTCCCTGTCCTCCGGCTCCTCCCTCTCAGGTCCACCTCGATCCTCTTCTCGATGTCTGTCCGAACGGACACCTCGCTCCTTCGCATCGCGAATCTTTTCTGGTGGGTTTTCGTTTTGTTGCTGCCCGTGGAATGTGTCTTCTGGTGGGTCAAGTGGAGCTTCAGGGCGACGCTTGCCATCCTGACTGCTGACATGATTGGCAGCTTTGAGCTTTCCGGCCCGTTGGAGTCTCTCCTTGGAATCGCTATCAAAATTGGGTTGTGCATTGCGCACGATTGCAATGGTTTCACATGCGAGGACCTTCACAAAAGCCTTTGTATGGAATTATGCTTATGGCAGTGTTTGACTGAAGTGAAGTTCGGAAACTAGGTTCGGGAGACGAAAGGAGTTGGAACAATGCAGAACTGAGTTGCTGATTCATTGCCTTTCCTGACGTCAGCTTGATCTTGGCCACCTTGGCCCCTGCAAGCATCCAATTGTCAATTTGACATCCAATGTAAGCCGAAACAGATCGAAACAGTCTGCCTTGGCCGCTGTTCTGTTCCAGGAGTGTCCTGCGCAGTATGCGGGTGACCTGCCCTGTTTTGCCACAGGACTAGCAGAAACTCAAAAAGCATTGGTTCTGTCCTCCTGCGCGCTGGTCTTTTCGGGCTGCTTCTTTTTTCGGATTCTAAGCACCTTGACGAAACCAACAAGTCATGAACTGAACAGTTCGATTGCTGCCAGAGTTCACAGATTATGATGTGTATTTCCTCCGAGCCTTCTCTTGTGGCTCTTCCACCACATCTAGATCCTGGACTTTTTGCAAATATAAATCCAAGTGTCATATATATATATATAATACGTGCGTGCGTGTGTGTCAGTGTGTGTGTGTGTGTGTCGCACTTGGATGCACGGTCTTGCTTTCCTTCTTTCCAGGGTTCTTTCCTCTTCTTCAGGCGTTCGTTCGTTGCTCGAGGTTTTTTAAGTCTTAGGTCAATTTTTAGTCAAGGGTGCGCCGATTTCGGCTTTCAAGCTTCATGCTGAAAGCCCCTCTTGCCCCCCCGCACCCCTGCACCCTTTCTCAACCCAGGCCCGAACCCCGCACCCCTGCCGCCCCCCCACCCGCCAACCAAGCAGAGTGCGCCGAATGACGGCTTATTGTGTGTGTGTGTGTGTCAACTCCAACTGGTGAAGCGAGAAGGGACGCCTTCTTGTGTAACAGTGTAACTGCATCTTCAACCCACCATAAAGAGCTAATGAGTTTCCTCCGTTTCACCCATGTTAAACAAAACTGTTGAAGCGGACCCGTTCACCTTTCCGTTGTGCAAGTCAAGGTCTAGCATCAGTAACGTAAAGTGCTATAATCTCACGGGGATGTCGCAACTGATACCGCTCTTGCGAGCCCTTATCTAAGTGTGTGTGTGTGTGTGCGTGTGTGCATGTGTATACATATACATTGATGGTTTTCGCTGCTCCCAAAAAAAATACGCCATGTGAACATTTGCCACATCCTTGGTTGCTGCTCGCGGTGTCAAGTCGGCCACCTTCTTGGCCTCAAAGCTCAAAGCAGTACAGCGAGTTGAGAAACGTTAAGGCCCGTTTTAACTTGAACATCGCATGTAGGCTACACTCTCTTAATCAGCCAAGAAAAGAGGCAAATCTCTAATACGGACGTACACTCTACTGTAGAGACTAGAGTGCACAATTAAAAGATCCTAACCAATGGCCTTCTGCCTGCCCCTGGACACTGGTGCTTTAACAGGCCACAGTGGCAGTAAGAGCGGCGTTCTGCGGCTTGTCACCTTGGGCCTCTTCCTCTGCATAGCCTAGACACGATCTCATTTGGACTTGCTGAAGCCATGTCCAAACCTGCTATTACAAATCACAGTCTATAGTATGTCATCAGTCCTTATCAATCTGTTTTGGGGGTGTCCCACCCAGCATCGACTCCACGGAGTCCTATTTACTATGCAGTGACCAATTGATCGTCTTGGCTGTTGCTGAGACCAAATCGCCTTATGCTTGTTCATGGTTGTTTATGGTTGCTGGAATTATGTGCCAAGGTGATACGAGATGTACACATTGCACAAGCGCCATGGCCTAAAGCACCTGGACCTGGAGAAAGTCGGACAGTGGAGATGACTGGGGCAGGACGCAAGAAGATCTCCTGTGGGCACAAAAAGATCTCGTCTAAATCTTCGTTTGTGCGCAATGATGCGACAAAGCACAGCGGAGCCCTAGCCACGGTTTGGCCAGCATTGACCAGTCTTTCAACTAGTCTTTCAGATTAGACTTAGTGTCTTCGGCTCAACAGTTGAAATCATTATGCATGTGAGCAAAGGCCACCAAACAACGGGGCGTGCTCAAATTCTGAGGGTGCCTGCGAAGCCGCGAGCTTGCTTTTTTTTCAGGTTGACCTGGACAATGTGTCAAAGCTCAAAGAGAGGTCCAATACCTGCGAACATGCAAACACATTCTGGTTCAGTACACGTTATTAAACAACATTCAACTCAACAAATATATCCAGGCAGAACTGAACAAATATATCCAGGCAGGCTCGAGTGCACAAACCCAGCAACAGGAGTCCAAACACTGTGAAAGAACCTTGAAAACCGAGCAATTCCAAACAGCAAGAGAAATGCACTTTAAGATGCATCATCACCCGCACGGAGTGACATGCAAGGCCAAACAAACACAAATGTATGTAAGCAAAAAGGACCCTGCAAACGAAGAAACTTGCATGCAAAAACAAACAGCTGTCAAAGAGGCCAACACATCGGCCAAGAGAATACCCAACACACACTGCCGCACCAGTAATCAAACGTAACGGTGTATGGTACACCAGGCCTTGTAGAGTGCAAGAAAGGGAGTGCAAGTGAAGACTTCACAAAATGCCATGCCTATAGTGTAGGGTGTATGGGTTTCCGTGTGTGCACACTTTGACCAAAAGTCTCGCAGGATCTTGCAGGACCTTTTTCTATTTATATAATACATCACATTGTTTCACACATCATTTGTATCCCACCTGCTTCCAGCCAGAAGCAGAGACCAGATTCGCAGGTGTCTGACATCGGGGTTGGACATCAAACAGCCTAATACAATGCCGCTCTCTCACCAGAACATGAGGCTTTCTGCGGTGCCTTCAATTGGTACTTACCATCATCTTCGCTGTCGCTCCATCCACGAAGCCCACCACCAGTGGGACCGGAACCTGAAATTCGCTGATGATCAGATAAACCCGAAATTGAGTTTATCCAAAGGCGGCCTCTGTCACAGCTGCGGCTGCGGCTGGGGCCATAAACCCGGCGGGCCATGGAATCTTGGTAGAAAGAATCAAGTACAAAAGACACCGGAAACCGGAACCAAATCCTCGGATCGTGCACCAGGGAAAGCAACTGGTTCTGAATCCTTCTGCCTAAAGGGACAAGACCCATTTGCTCTTGGCTCTGAGTCATCAGCTTCAGCCAGTGCCACGCTTGGGCTGAAAGAACCCCACACATCCAAGGATTGGCGATGCCACGAACGAAGAACGCAACTGTCGGGGTGCTATCGTGAAATGTCACAAACACTTGTTTTTCCAAACCGTGATCTCATGTCACTCTCTATGCCACACACATTTGGAACAAGCTGGAAGAAGTTACGATCATGTTGCAATTGCTGCCATGATCTGAATGTGTTCAAATGTCTTCAGCATTGCCTACCTTTGCCATTCAATTCCAAGAGCCTACGTCTTCTGCCAGCGCACTGTTGCCTAGATCAAGATTCTATATAATCTGATCATACTGGTGCCCTCCCATGACATTCCATGACTGAGCCGCCAGCTTCGGCAAGGAACAAAGATTAGAACGGAATATACAGGAATACCAGAACACCATGCTCAGTTCAGGGCGTTAGCAGCTACCTGCTAACCTGTGCCCTCCCTGCTACCGTTCATCAGCTTTCTGCCCCGCCTGTGCCTGTGCGGATGTTGGAGGCCTGAGAAGAAGGACGGTAAAGGTCTGCGATTTTCAACTTATGACCAACTGACATCTTCAAGAGCTCCCGACCACAGCTGCTCCATTGCATGGCTCAGCGTGTCCTCTGTGCGACACCGTGTCATTTAGAAGTGTTCATTGCGAAACCTGAGTCCTGGCAAAGGGAAATCTGCAAGATTGGCGCCTTTCCTTGGCGCAAAGGATTGCAAAACCGCAGCGGCTTGTGGCATCCATCCTAAAACCTTGAAAGCGGCGCAAAGTAGCGCTCACGAATGCCCTCTCAGGCGGTGGCTTGCTCTGCTTGGAAGGCCATGTCCGCCGTGGCCCCTTGCCACAGCCCGAGCCGGAGCAGGCAACCAACCTTGGTGTTCACATCTTCTTGGCTTTCAATAGACACACACACATAGATACATATAGAGGGAGAGATGAATATAGCATGTTTTCTGTGAACTTATGCCTGTATTTTGGCGAAAAGGCAGGTAGGAGTGAGAGGAAAAAACACTTATCTTCTGTTTTACGTATATTCAAAGAGGCCCTTATGATAATGTTCTTTATCATCCCGTTTCATCTTTTCGCCTCTCCCTCCTAACTGGATCCGTGAGAACATACCGTGGCGGTATAGAAATAGGTCCAACACACTCATACAAAATCCATTGTGGCCGTGGGCATGCAGGTCAAACGTGGTGAAACATAAGGTTTAATCATCCTTATCACATCTTATCACTAATTTTATACTAACCACTATCTGCTACTGCTACCACAGCTAATATATAACTATTACCACGTCACTACAACAACGATGACAAGTCAAAACAATCGCACTGCATGTACGTGGCATAGGTGTCGTAAGAACATTCTATCGCCTTTGGTTGAGGTCCAGACCACTAGCCACCAATAGCGCTGCAGTTGCCATTTCGAGTGTTTTGAAGGAGTCTCCGAAAATCTCTAAGACTCACTTTATTTAATGATGAGGATTGCATATATAATAGTTGGAATGATTGAAGAAGTGGAGTTGGAAGTGCCAAAAGCACCCATACGGTGTTGATTGGAAGGTTTATGAAGGTTTCTGGTCGTGTTGTGTATAGTTTGGGCCCGCAGCCAGTTCAAGAAACAAGTCGCATGCCGAGGCTTCACCATGCTCAAAGTGTGCGAGAGAAAGAAACGAAGAGGGGGGAGTCGGCATCCAAACAACTAACCACCTCCATTGAATAGGTTCATGATGTAATGTCATGTCATGCATGTCAGACAAGTGGAGATTTCTGCAAAGTACACGCTTTACTGCTACAACTTTTGGAGGGACTGCGCCAATCCTAGAAGACCCGTTCTGCCTTTGGCAAAGCTGGGATGTTCCAAGCAGCCACAGGCATATCCCTTTCAAACGAAACTCAAATCATTGGTTTGGCCAACAGTCAACTTGTGGGGATAGGCCTGTGTCTCTGCCCAAGAGGTCTCTGACAGCCCGAACTGCCAGAAAGTTCGGAAAAAATGTTGACGCAAAAGGGGTTGAAAACATTCAATGTGAAACAGCAACCTCTCAAGTCTATACAGTCCCCTAAACAAACATAGCTGCTAGCTATGTTGCTCTGGAGGAGTGCGCCACCTAGAAGTGCTGGCAAATCTCATGCTGAGCCCCAAATCTAGCAAGCTCAGGGGCGGGCAGTGTCAGCAAGCTAGTACATCTCTTTATGTCTCACCATTGTTGTTCATCAAATGGCTGTGCAGAGTCGTGTCATCCTCAGCGCAGTGGCCCAGGCATGCCCTGCCCATGTGCAGGTGCAATACGGTATGCTGCTTCAAACTTGATATGGCAATGTATGGCACGTCAATGTAATAACAACAGCAAACGGATCTTGAATAATGGCAGCCTGGAGGACAAAATGCAGGAGAAGCTCAAGAAACAATGCATGACTGTGACTATGAGCCCTTCAAGAACCTGTCACAAATGGTGACTTTAATCGTCGCTCCTGGTGACATTGTTTCAATCCTGGATGAGCTAACATGCATCAAAAAGGACTGGAATAGGCCCTCCGTGCACTGTGCACCAGCACAGGCATCTTAAGCAGACTACTCTGCAAAACTTTAAAACTTGGCCATCAACTAAAAAGTTACAGTGACATCCCAAAAAATGACAAGGAAAGTGAGTTCCCTTCAACAAAGCGTATCGGACATGGTTGCGAGAGCTCCTCCGCAAAGCATTCCGATCCAAGCGATCCAAGCGGCAAGTGCTCGGAGCTGGTCCCTGCGAGTGTCCTTCATGCCACTGGCCACCTGCTCCGATGAAGTTGCTTCTTGCTCCGTTCGTAGCGATGCCCTTTGTTCCTAGTAGCGATGCCAGGAGCCCCTAGTAGCGTCCTTGCTCCTAGTAGTAAGGCCAGGAGCCCCTAGTAGCGTCCTTGCTCCTAGTAGCGATGCCCTTTGTTCCTAGTAGCTTCTTGATACTAATAGTAATGCCAGGAGCTACTACAGTAGTAGCTTCTTGCTCCTAGTAGCGATGTCTGTATGATCAAATCCTTGTCTCCTTTCTTCCTTCATCTTCCTTCTCTTTTCCTCTTTCCTTTAGACTGCCTACTGTCCATCTTTTTACTTTATAATATATAGACCTTTCGATTTGGGTGCACTAGCTCCAGCACAGTAACACACTTTGTCTTCTTTCCATATATCTTGAAAAATTGTCAGAGGTTGTGTAAAACTTTGAGCTGAGGACAGTCCGACTTGCAGTTCTCGCCCTTCCACAGCTTTCGCTCTGTGGGCCACACCCCGAGTGTTTGCTCCAGAAGTGCTAAGCTGCGTTTCATCTCCCGGCACCTCACCGCGGTTGTTGATTTCCGCACATGGCACATGCACATATTCTCATATGTGCAATCCCATGCACTGGAGGCATGCACTCAGATCTATAAACAGCTGCTGAGCATTGGGCTGTGTCATAATCATATTTGCATCCTTGGAATCGCAGCTGAGGTGCACAAAGTGTGGAGCTGCTGATGTAGTGTCTCCAAGTGTGGGTCTTACCTATTGTCAATTGTTCGCATTAATTACTGGTGCACCCTCCAAGATAGGTACAAGTTCAGACCTCTCCAGTTTGGAGGGTCCCAACCTCCGAAAAACGTGACATGACGGAAAGCTCGGCTAAGCCATCGGCATGCATAATGGAGATCACGTCCAAAGAGCGCGCTTGTCCCTTCAGCCCTCAGCGCATCACTTTCAGATCTGGTAGGCACCAATTAGCGTCACAGAGAAGACAAAGCACGGATAGCATACTGAGAGGATATCTGTTTTTTTTGCACTTCCTTTGCGGGAAGCCGTGAGGCCATGACTCATGATGCCTTGGCAAAACTCCTTGATTGTCACCTCACCATCCTGCAGTTGCGCTACAATAGGCAGCAGCTTGCACAAAGCCTGCACCCTTTCCACCGAAGCATCCACCAACACTGAGCAAGCGAACCCCATCATCTAAGAGGTCAAAGAGTGGCTCAACTTCGTGCACCTCACCAGACAGAGCAGTGGGGAGACGCGCTTCACTAAGTTACAAGGCCGGTTGGTCATTTCCTTACAATCAAAACCGCGGCGTATATTTGATTCGATCAAGCAATCTAGATGATTGTATTGTGCTTATAGTCTACCAAAACAATAGTGACTATTCAATAGTGGTGAAGCTACGCAGTAGAAAAGAAATGCCTGTCATTCATGCTCTTCAACTGAGAATCAATTGGCCCGCTCGTTGTGTATCAAAAATGGTGCGACGCGTCATCGTTGTGCAACGCAATGTGTGAGGTTTCTATTGAGTTCCCAGGCTTCTATCTCCAGGATGCTCAGGTAATGAAGCACAACCTTGACAAAGGTTGTGCTTCAAGAACTCATCAGAGGAATAAATTGAACCAAACACATCAGTCCCTGGCGGCGTTGCTACATGCTGAATCCATTTCTGCCTTTGTGATAACCTCAGGCATTGGATGTAAAGGAAAAACGGGATGGATGCCAATGAGAAAAGGATTTTTGCTGTGTGCGTGTGTGCGCACAACAAATTGGTAGCATCAATCTTCATGCGGAGTTATATAAACAATGTACATTGCATGATCACTCAATGCCCTGTACAACTTAAGCGTAATCTACGTAATTTGTTTTTGAGGACCATGCTCCGTTGCCATCAGAGTCTGCCTCCAAGAAAATTTCCTGCGATTGTTGAAAGTCACTGAAGAACGCATCACTGCTTCCAACCACGAACACCATTGTCTAGCAACGGCAATACAACAGATTCAGAGCAGTCCTCCAATCGAGAGACATACTGCTCTTTTGAGCGCACCTTCTCCTGTGTAAACACAAGTTTACCTCACACACCACTTGCGTGCCCAAACCTGCACACGTTGCCCACCACGGCTTGTTAAACATTGATAATGATACAACTACAACTCCAGGCTGGCACCATTTACAGGGCATATCCGAGGCACTCCACTTTGTTTAAACATCCCCCAAAAAAAAGAACTCTGTGGGAACCATCCCGCGTCACAAGCCAGGCGGACCATCTACCAGGTCAGCATGGAATGGTCAAAGCCAGTCAGTCTCCTGAACTGCCAGCGCTGCATCA